CCGCGCCTCCCCCGCTGCAGCTCGGGCGCAGCCCGGACGGGACGGGGCCCGGCGCGCGCGGACCACGGGCCCCCGAGGACGGGCGCCGGGGCCCGGCCGCTGCCCCTGAGCGGCGCCCGCACGCCTCTCCTCGGGGCCGGGGCGCCGGGCGGGCGAGACCCCGGCCCCGTCCTGGGACGAGCCGCGCGGCGGGGTCGGTCCCGGAGGGGGAGGGGCAGGCTCGGCACGTCGAAAGCCTTGACAGACAGCTCTGGTCGCCATGGCAACGCGGCGGCGAGCCCCTCTCCCCATTGCCATGGAAACCAACTTGAGCGGGCGGACCCCTCCCTCCGCCCCCCACCGGGAGCTCCGCCACTCCTGCCGCCGCCGCCACGTGCTCGCGGAGCGGGGACTGCCCTGCCACGCTCCGGCGGATCGGGGGCGGCAGGCGCTCCGGGCGGGCGGGAAGGCCGCCTGGGACGCGCCGGCCGGGGAGCCCCGCCTGGCAGGCGCGGCGGCGGCCCCTGCTTCCCTCGCCGGCCTGGGATGGGGCGGCGGGGCAGGGCCGCCCGGACTCCGTCCTGCGGGGGCGCCAGTGGCCGCGCGAAGACCTCCCGGCGGTGGAGCGCTGAGGCAGGCGCGCTTCCCCGCGGGCGGAGGCCGGCCCGGCCCGGCCCGCCCGCACCGAGCGCCGCTCGCCTTCGGCCAGAGGCGCGTTTGGGGGCCAGGAGGAGGAGAGGGCCGCGCTGCGCTCCACCTCTCCCGGCGCTTTTGTCCCAGGACGGGGGAGGGTGCGGAGGGTCTCGCCCGGCCTGTCCGGGCTTTCGGGGGCTGACTGCCCCGCAGCCGCCGCCGGCGCCCCGACAGCCGCCCCGTCCGCGCAGGGAAGCGCCCGCTCCGGCGGCGCCCATCTGCTGGGGACCCGGGCAGGGCCGTTGGCGGCGGGCGCTGTCCGGCTGGGGCGCCCCTCCCGCGGCGCGCCTGCCTCCGCAGCCCCACCTCGCCCTGTTCGCCTCCCGGGATGCCTCTCCAGCTCCGAGCCCCTCGCCAGGGACCAGCGCCTTGAGCAGCCCCCGGCCCGCCCCCCGCCCCGAGCCGGGTCCTGCGGCGCCAGCCGCATCCCGCGCTCGCTCTCGCCCCGCGCACCGATCGAGGGACGCGCTTCACTCAGACAAAGGAGGCGAGCCAGAGGCGCCCCTCACGCTGCCACGGCGGCGGAGCTGGCCTGGGGGGGAGGGTCGGGACCCTCGAAGCCCAGCAAAAGGGCGGGCTGGTGGCTCCTTGGGGCAGGGACCTGGGACTGCAAGTGGCCCTTAAGGGACTCTCTTGGGACGTGTTCCCAGGTGCCCCCCTGAGGTGGGCGGCAGGCACATGGGCAGGCACCGAGCCTGGCAGCGTGGCCTTGATGGCGACGGGGGGGGGGGTGCCTTTTGATTCCCAAGTGATCCCCAAGTCGGCCTCTCTCAACGTGTTCTCGAGGCTGACCAGGAGACCCAGAAGCCCTGCAGCTGCTTGCGGGGTGTGAAACCGTGAGAGTTCAGGCAGGGCAGGTGCTGTGGGAGAGATGCCTCCCTTACCCCCGAGGTGGGGGAAACAGGCTGGTGGGCGGAAGCTGGGGAGAGAGCGAGGCAGTGAAGCCGGGGGGAGGCAGGGGGAACTGAGCCCAGCCTTGCATGCTCCCGGCGATCGGGGGGGGGGGGGCTGCCTCTCTGCAGAGGTCCGTTTCTTCTCGCTTGCTCAGAGAACCCAACTTTGCTTGGGGGTGTGCAAGAATCGCGAAGCACAAGCACCAACAATGAAACAACGAATACCATCAGCACAGAATAAAACCATCGCAAGTGCGGGAGGGGTGGTCAGGCGGCCGGGCGAGCTGAGAGAGGAGGACAAAGCACAGGGGCTAGAAGTGCCCGGCTTTGTCCCGTGCCCAAAAGGTCAGGCAGTGGGAGCCTCTCTCTGTGAGGGCTCCCGGGGAAGCCTCCCCTTCTCTGGCTGACTCTTGGGGTGTCCGTTGACACCCCCTTTGCTCCACAGGCACCTCCATAAAGCTCAAATGCCTCTGTCCCGAAACGCCTCGGGCTTCCAGGGACCTTTTCCAAGGGAAACAGATGGGGGAGCGCTCAGCACCGCTTGCACACCCGGCTGCGCAACTGCAGGGATGTGGCCGAGCGGTGCTGAGTGGGACTCAGGCCCTTCTCCTCCCCACAGAACAGGCCCAGCCGCCTCTCCCTGCTGCTGAGAGCCGGCTGCTTTGGGGTCAGCGGGCACAGCCGCTCGGAGCCTCTCCTGCTCATGCTGAACCACGGCCAAACTGCCGAGCTAGAGGAAAGGCCACGGAGGAGGCAAAATCGTGGTTCCACGAACACACCCCTTGCAGAAAGCGGGGTGGGGTGACGCTCACCACCCTTTCCCTGGCCTCTCTCTGGAGGCAAGAACTCCTTGGGGCGCTCCAACCGGGAAACGCCCCCAGGCATTTTCTCCACTTTTTTGTGGGCAGCGAAATGGGGAGGGGGAGATTTTGTAAAATAATCTGGTCAAATCCTCCTGCCAGTTCTTCAGCCAGGGTGGCAGCCAGGTCTGGAATCGCCTGCCCCATCCTAGGAGGAGCGGCAGTGCCCGGGGAAGGCGAGGCAGAGATGGGAGACACGTTTGTGGAGAAGCCTGTTCCGGCCCTCGCTGAGCAGTCTGCCTCTTCCATACACGGAGCCGGGGGGCCCTGGGTGCGCCTGGTTCATGCCCTGTTTGTGGGCCTTCTGATGGCACCTGGACAAGGCAAGGCACGGGTCTGAGCCGGCAGCAGAGAGGGCCTTTTTGCGGTGGCCCCTGCAGGTGGAACGCCCTGCTCTAGAGGCTCTTGAAGTCTTTTGGGAAACCAGCGGAGACCTTCTCATGCTCTTGGGCCTCAGGGTCTCCATTCGGCTTCGACCCTCGCGCGCACCTCTGGGGTAGCCACACCGTCCCCCTGGCCCTGCCCCGCAGGTGGGCTTCTGGG